AAAAAAATATCACTATATAGATATAGAGATTTCATCATTATGTACTATTTTTTAAAAAAAAATTGCTTCATAAATCTATTTTTTTTTAATAATTTCGAAAATACATAAAGGGCATTAAAGTCAAAATTGGTACAAAATATAATTTAGCCTAAAGGGACAATATCCAAAGCTATTTGGTCTAAAAAAACAGTTTCCCCTTCTTCTTTTTGTCGTCGCATCATGATTGTTCTAGTTCACTCTTGTACTTTGAAACACCCAAAGAAAATTTACATATTAATTTGATAAACAATTAAAACAAAGAATCTTTAAAATGTGACAAGTTTTGACTAAAATATCTCTCTGAAATAACACTGTAACGTAAAAAATAACGTGATCAAATCACATCCCCTTCTTTTATTATTATGCACATCAGACGTTAATATGATACGATTTTTTTCTACATATCGTTAGTCGTTACATGAATACCATGTAAACAAATAAAATGTTAATTAATTTCAAAAGAACGAAGACTATATATATATGATGCTGGAGAAAGTATTAACCTTGTTGGAAAGTCCACAATGTGATTCATGAAAGGCGAACTAGAGTGGGCAGGCTTGTTAGAGCTAACCGTAAGTTGATCCTCGTTTGTAACGGCTGCATCAGCTTTTAAGATTGCACATGCAATGAGGTGTTCGGCAAAGTCAGCCGACGAATATGAAAGGAGGATAGTGACGGGTCAGTATGATTAGAGGTTATAAACATTTTATTTTTATTATTTAACTAGAGTTGGTAAACATGAAAATAAGAAAAATATATACTGAAGGAAGGATTAAAGATTTTGATACACCAAAAATATGAAAATCGGAAATATCAAGATAAAAAATCTTATTGAACAAGCAAGGGAGTGAAATTTAAGAAGGCAAGTAAATAGACGTGAAAGTTGGCCACCAAAAAGGAAAGACTTTTATGAGGCTGAATAGGGATTTGGAAGTTCAATAAGTTGGAAAATTTGGCTGTAAAATTAAAATTGGATAGACTAGAAACAAGGCGAGGGGAAAGCCATTGCTTAGGACATCCAGTTAGCATATTTTTATTTAGTTTTTTTGATACAACTTTTTTGTTAGTATTTATATGTAAATATAATTTATAATTCTTTTAACAGTAAAAATATTTGTGAGAATTGTTGACTTCACTCATAGAACTTTTACTAATAAATATATGAAATAAGTGTATTGTTAAATAATAATTATTTTTTCCAAATGTAAACACCTCAAATGTTACATAAATCGGATTCTGTTTCAAACTTACCCGATTTGGGTTCATTTGATTGTGGTTTTAATTTATTATTTCTTTATATTTATTTTTCTTGATGTGTCCATATACTTAAAAAAAATCTATTTAATATAAAAAATAATTTATGGCATCCAAAAATATTAGACAGACACTGACTAGAAATTAGCCATTATCGATTTATAAGATGTAAAATCAACTATTCTAATTATGATTAAGCAAAACTGTATTTGTAAAATGATTTCTAATAGTTGAAAAAATGATTTCTAATAATACAACCAATATTGATTTTTTTTTTGTTCATTATTATTTTGTGTTTAAGGTGTTTTGTGTGTTTTAGTGCCAATCATCCCAATTATTAGTGGTTTGCCCATCAAGAAAAATTAGGATTAAAGCAAGAGTATCACTTTTAGTGGTATTTTTGAACTATCATTTTTAGGTATGTCCTATAATATCATGTGACTATGAAATCATATTTTATGTAAAGTTAGTCCTGGATGATACACTGATTTTGAACTTCCAAAAATTTTGAAAAAAATATATGTATATAAATTCTCAAGAAAAATTTTAGGTCCTCAAATCCATTACATTTTTTTTTAGTTAAAATCGTTAAAAAAATTGTTTTATGTCTCCTAAATATTATGCTTCATTTAAATATACAAAAATTCAATTCGCAGGTTATTTCTCTTTTTGAAGATTAGTCTTAAACTCTTCTGTAAGCTACACCAACATGATGACGACACACACGAAAGTGAAAAACAATGAAACTTCAAAATATCTGATTGCACCATGTGAGGTAGAAGATAGAAGATTCCAATCAAAGAATAAACCATACAAAATTAGTCAATTCTGATAAAAACGGTTCAGCCAACTGAACCGGGCTCATATCCTTCGTTTCTACACGACTAATGAAAATATGTTTAACAAAGACATGCTACTACTACTCCTAAGATATGTGCCTTTGTTTTTCCGCCGTTTAATTTGTAGAGGCCACGTAAAATGTAGGGACGAAATTATTAGGATAATTTTATTTTTTGGATTAAAGATTTTAACTGATTTTATAAGAATTCAACTGCAGATATAATAATAGCTTTTAAGATATTTTCAAGGATTTGATGTTAATTCATTGGCCTAATTCTAATGTTTTGGATTTTAAAAGAATTCAAATCAATTTGATCAAATCAATTCCTCTAAGTTTTATAAACTAATGTTTTTTATATGAAGAGAAAAGTTTATAAAAATTTGACAAATTTTTTTTATCATTTTTATTATATATAAAAATTAAAAGCAAAAAGCTGAGTAAAAAATTTTGATTAATAAAAAAGAGTAATAGTCAAACTAATAATGTATCACTATGTGAATATGTAAAATAATACCGTTCCATAAAAACATAAATCACAACAAAATATATTTTATAATCATATCAAAATAAGAAAATATTTATAAAATTTAAAAATATTTTTTTTTTAATTTTTCATATTATAATAATTAATAATATTGACGTATATATTTGATAGATAAACAATATAAAGAATCATCTTCAAATACCGGTCTAAAAAATAAAATTTATTCTTTACCATTTTTAGTAAAATCTATTATATTAAAAGAGAAGTCATGACTCATTTCATGTGTGATTTTATTTTATTTAGACCATTAGCAAAAAAGAGTTTTATTAAATATATTTTATTTCTTTGTAATCACTTCAATCATAATATCTTTGATATCTTTTTATTTTAATATAAATATGTATTAATTCCTTTTAAAAAATCTGTTGAAAAGATTTTAGCAAGATCTTAACTTTAAAAACATTATATAAATATTTCACTAATTAATAACTTGAATAAAATTTCGAATTAGTAATGAAAATAACTATACATTAATATATATATATATATATGAAAACAGATTTTATTGTTTTTATCTATTTAATAATCATAAACTATCAAATTAAATGAAATTAGTATAATAAAGTGAATGTTATAAAATTATATTAAATTGATAAATTAATCAATTTTATTTTCATAAATAAAAAATATTAATGTTAAAAATATATAATACATTGGCAGAACGGATTAACATTAGTAACTATAAATACATGTAAAAAATTAACATATCTTAAACTTTTATAATATCATATTATCTTTATAAACATAAAAAGTTTAATAAACGGTAATCTAACTTTGAAACTCAAATAATAATTTAGTATAAATTATATATAAAATAATATGATTTTTCATGCATATATTAATATTAATAATTTAATATAAAACCAATTAGATAAATATATAATAAGAAACAATTGATATTAACGTACAAGCTATAAAACTATTGTGTTTGTAATAGTTATATAAACATTTAAACATATGACTAACGTTATTAATGATATAAAACAAATATATATATATATATATAAACAAAACCCGCGCGGTTGCGCGAGTCCAAATCTAGTTTTAATTAAATTCTCTTCAAATACAACTACCATACAATCAATCAAAAATTAAATATCACAAATATTTGATGAAATTAGAAATTTGCGAAATCCAATAACAGAAGAATTTTACAGAATTAGGTAAAATATTGAATAACACAATTCCTTCAAATTCAGTTCAATATCCCCACTTTTAATTAAAATGGCTAGTTATCGGTTAAAGTCCGAGCAAAAAAGTGCCCCAATGCATGATTATTACGTTGAAGCGGCCTAATAGATTCTTTTTCCGGATTCCTCTTTTAACAAATTTATTATTTTGTTCGATTGTAGATTGGTGTAAATGTGAGAAAAAGATCGTAATGTTAAAGAGACACTACTCCAACGCCATTCTCTACAGAATCTTCTCACAAACTCTTAATGTCTGCTTCTACCTATCCTTTTCTTCTCCGATCCATCGGGACCAGATTTAATAATGGCTCTAATGGCTTGTTAAAAGCTTATAAAGGTGGAAAGCATAATGGGTTAACTTTAAGAAGCTGTTTTGATTCTTCTCACAAGAAGCCTGATCAAAAGGCTCAAGCTTTATCTCACCATCACAAGAAGATTGTTGTGGCTGTTGACATAGATGAGGGTATGTAATGTTATGTTCCTTTCTTTAAAATGGCTCTGCTTTATAAGTGAAACAGAGAACTACTATCCTTATAGTAATCTGAAAAGTATTTAAATGTTATGCATGGTGTTGTGGTAGAATCTTATTATATGTTTACTTATATTGGAACTATATCTTAAACTGATATCTTTAAATATTTTCATGTGATGTGTGTGTTGAATAGTGACGATTATGTATTATTGTCTTTTTTTATGGCTGATGGGAATCTTTATTGTGTGTGTGTGTGTTTTTTTACTGTGTCTCTAGTCTCTTGCTTCTTGGAAACTTTGTCTCGGCACTTAACAGGTTCATTGCGGATCGCTATTTGTCAAACCATTCAGTCTCAGACTACCATGTCTACGAGTTCTTCAAGGTATGAAGTTGAAACCTTCTTTTTTTTTTTTAATGCTTGGAGGAGTAACTCTCTTACTTTTTTTAATCCTATTTTATGCCCTTAAAGTCTTATTTTCGTCGCAGATATGGAAATGCTCTCGGAATGAAGGTATTAATATCTTAAGCCTTAAATCAGCTATATGCATTTAATCAAGGGACTAGCTGATGATTATGCTGTCAGCAATTTTGGTGGCCTAATAATGTTCTTGTCCTGCAGCTGACATACGTGTTCATGAATTCTTTAAGACATCTTATTTCAAGAAAGGGATCCATCCTCTTCCTGGTGCTCATAACACTCTTCACAAGCTATCAAGATATTGTGAGCTTTCAGTTGTGACGTAAGTTGCATGCTGTGTGTGATCTTCTCTCTGTTGAACGTTTTGACCAGTTGATTCTAAAAACCTGAATGTGTGTCAGGTCCCGGCAGAATGCTATAAAGGATCACACACTTGAGTGGCTTGACATGCATTTTCCAGGACTGTTTAAGCAGATTTATTTCGGAAACCATTTTGCTCTTCATGGAGAGTCTAAACCCAAGTCTGAAATCTGCAGGTGCATACACTCTTGAATATTTGCAAGACTAAAACTCAAAACACTATATCTTTCATGTGATTTGGTGGGGCTAATTCAACTGCAGATCATTTGGAGCAGAGATAATGATTGATGACAACCCGAGATATGCAGAGGAATGCGCAAACATAGGAATGGAGGTTCTTCTCTTTGACTATGAAAACTCATACCCTTGGTCTAAAACTGAGTCTGTGGATAGACATCCTTTGGTGACTAGAGTTCATAACTGGGAAGAGGTAGAGCAGCATATTCTCTCATTGATAGTATCAAAGTGTTGAAACATTTCTTCAAATTGATAAATGTCATTTTGACAGTGCAATACTATTAGTATTGATGCTTTCAGGTGACACTGTATTGTACAAACATGAAAGAAGCAAAACTAGATGGAATTATAGGTAAAACTGTAATATTTTAGCACAAGTAAATAATCATATTTTTATTTGATGTAAATATATAAAGTGATGTATAATTTAAATTTTAAATCTTATTTATTTCACAATAGAGCATAAACAAACAAGCTAGTGTTTATGCTTTTACTAACTAGTATCGAAACAATCACTCTTTCTCACTTGTTTGTCTCTCCTTTGCATGGAGAAGCATCTCTAGAGATATTAGCAGAACCACCAGAACCAGGCTCGCGCAGAAGTGCTTGAACTGGTGCTCTGTGCCACAGGGTCAGACTTGACGTCTTGAAGATAAGAATTCAATAAGAATTCAACAGGCGGGGCGACACTCACGTCCGGCGTCAAGAATCAACAGTTCTGAGTTCTTGGTCATTTCTTCATGCTTCTCTTTCACCTTGTTTTCTTGTTGGACTTTTCCAATCTTCAGTGAAATCTTATTTGTTTCTCTGTCTGGAGATAAGTAGTCTTCTTGATCTGGGTTAGCTAACTGAGTTAATGATTTGTATGTTCTCTGGTTGGAAACCCCGTTGGCGATGTTATCTTGCACATCTCTGCTTTTTTAAGTGTACAAAAATGTAAAACATAGTTTAATGAAGAAGCCTAATAATCACTTCATATAATGTAATATGAAGAAATTGTGGAAGAAGAGCATACTCTGGATGAGACTTCCTCATATGTGGAATATACTCATACAAAGATGTCAACTCTCCTCTATAGCTTATGCAAGCCCTCTTCAGATGTCCTGGTAGATCTGTAAGTTCAGTCATTGAAGCCAAACTACCGACAAACTCTGAGAGAATGTCTCCAAAATGCTGGGATGCCTTTTTTCATTGACACAAGAACTCCAAATCAAGACAAAGTTTTTTCAACTGTACAATAAGTCCCCAATAGTACTATGTAAACTTCGTACCTCTTTAGCGAACTCTGTAGGTAGAATGTCTACAGCCATGCATATTACACCATCGCCATCCATATTATTGTAGTATGAATTGTTCACATGATTAAACCTAAAGAAAGATTTATCAGGTCGACAAGTTTCATTAGATAGTAGCTATGTTCAAGATTTAGATTACCTAAAGAAAGGGGAGTCGATTGTAGTAGCTCGGTTCACAAACTCAATAGAGCCACCAATGTCACAAGTTATATCACATATGCCCGTTAGTGGACATCCTTTTGCCGTTAAATCTTGAAGCTGTTTAGTGCTGAGAAGACGAGGAAACCTCTTCTCCCAGTACATACAGTTTACTGCACATTAAGTCAGAGTTAAGTCCACACTGGAACTATTGAATTGCTTGTATGTAATGTCATCAACTTTAAAGGCAAAAGAGAGATCATGATGTACCAAGAAATGATGTATAGGGAGCGATCTTTTTGTGGAAAACTGACTTGTAGTGTTCTGGGTGTGCATAATAGTCAGCCTGAAGATAAAGAATGAACAGGGCCGGCCCTGGGGCATGCCTAATGAAACATTTGTTTCAGGCCCCCGAAAATTTTGAAGAAAATTACATAAGTATAGGCCCCAAAAAAACTTTTTAGGCCCCCAAAAATTTTTTTTACATAGAAACCGTCATAGGCCCCCAAAATCTCAGGGCCGGCCCTGAGAATGAAGAGTTAATAGTAGTGTAACAAAAGTTCACAGCCATGTAGCTAATTTGTTAATGAAGTGTTACTTTCTCAAACGACTTTGATGGATCTTGGTGTTCAACCATGTCTTGGCTGGTAACGATACAACCATATACTTGATGGACTCGCTTTGTAGATTTTCCATTTTGACTAATTCCTTTGTCCTATGCATAAATATATAAATTTCATTTTTCACAAAACATATAAACAATAAACTGTAATCTTCAATGCCCTACACTTACTTTTACAAATAGTTCAGGAAGCTGGCTCGGTTCAACAAAGGTGTGAGGAAGAAGCTTGAAGATTTCTTGCGCCCCAAGAGAAGCTGCAAGATTGAGAAAATTAGAAATAGAATGAAACATCCTCAGGCTGATAAGTGTTGTAGAAGGAACAAAGAAATTTACCATTGCCTGTACCGGTGAAGACAAACACAAGAGGGCAGAGTCCCAATGGTAGTCCCTGACTTGCAATCTCTTCACCAACAGAAACCACAGCAGATTTTGCTGCAGCCAATGAGGGATACATATAGGATGAACCTAGCGAGAGGAAAGGTGTTGAGTATCCTAAACTTAGATATCCTGCATCAAAATTTACATTCATCAACACCTAAAAAAGAAAGCTTGTTGCTTAAGAATAGTAACAAGAGATTCTTACTCTGTCCTAGTCCATGTAAGAAGTCAACAAGACCAGCTCTGCCTGCATATTTACCAAATGCCAGTAATCTCCTTTCATGATCTCCAACAATAAGCTCATAATCATACAACGTCACTCTCTCAGACAATATCTGCATTCCAGGTTCTAAACATTCTTAGAGATTCTCTTAAAAGAGGACTAACAAGAACAAAAAAGGATGAATGAATAATCTTCTTACTTTATCTAGCAAAGGCATGTTTTGTTTTTGTGCCTTGTGAGTGTGAGAAAAGAAAGCATATGCTCTCTCTGGAAGAATCATTTCTAGCTGCAACACAACAACAACACACAATACACTAAAAATCATTAACACAAAACTGTTTTAACGGATAGATATGTTGGGATTGCGGAAGCCCATAGTACAATATTGTCCACTTTGGGCCTAATTGACAAGTCCGCATGAATTTACTTTTGGTTTTCTTTCTAAAAGGTCTCGTACTATTAGAGTTTGACTTTTCTTTATATATATTAGGTACTACTTGTTTAATTATCCAATATGAGATTTTGTTTATTATCTCACAAGATAAACTAAAAAGTAAACGCCACAGAGAGTAAATACTAGCGTGTCACACAAGATTCAATGCATACAAAAAGTATTTAGTAGATTTTTTTTTTTAAATGTAATTTTCTTATTACCTTGGGTTGTTTGATTCCGATTATAAGCCCACAATCAGATAAATCATCAGAGATTTCACAACCAACATCTTCATACAAGCCATCATGATAAATACGCTTTGCAGATGGCTGAACCACAATGCGAGACACTCCTGTTCTGTCTTTGCCACCGTGTAAAAGTCTAGCGCAATGAGACGGTGTCAACGGCGTTCTTCTTTCCCATTTGTTCACTGTTTCAGTTAGAATCCCTACAACTCCATTCCCCAACATATTCTTCTCATCACCACTTGAATTCATAGTCTTTAGTTTACAATCTCTGCAAAGGAATAACAAAACACTATATCTCAAACAATTATTTTCAGGAATAATAAACAGAGAGTGATTGAGCTAAAGGTCTTGCAAGATCTTTACGACAAGTAATGTTATACAAGAAGAAATGAAAACTTACCTCTGATGATGTTGATTAGGCAATTTCTATAAACTGGTTTTGTCAAAGATGGGAAGCTTTCTAAGGTGAGTTTAAGAAGCAGTAACAATACGACCTTTTATAGGCTTAAAATGACAGATGATTAAAATTTATAAAATGAGGATTAGTTGAAATGGCAATTGGTGTGTTGTGATGTTGGCTTTCTTTTTTGGAAAAATATTAATAGTGTCTCAAATTAATAATAAATCATAATCTAATGTCTTAGATCATGATATAATAGAAAGAAAAACGTGGTCTTCTTTATAATTATTTGCGTTACATCTCAACGGTGTCACTAGATGTGTTTTGTTATATAATTTAAAGTTGGTTTATAGATACACGAGTGCTATTGCAAAAAAATATTCTAAATTTTGTTGAAGACTTACAGAGTCATTGTTAAAAAAAAGGTCAGGATCCAATTGAGGGATGGTAAGAAAACTTATTAAACACAGGCAGATAGCTTGAAAGATTAACCAACATGTAAATCTTAATAAACTAATAAAAGTCATTGTTAAAGATTATATATACTGCTTTTGTATATTAGTATTACCCATGTAAACGACAAAACAGAAAATTATACAACAAAGTAGACGTTAACAAAGTTATCCTCAACATTAGCAAGAAAATTTGGTAAAATTAATCTACAATTTGTATTTTGTAATATAAAAAAGACTAGCAAAATCTTTGTGATAAATCATATATTATATAATGAAAATACACAATGACCAATGGAGTAGTAACAACTATATATTTTAAAACAAAAAACAACTATTTCAAGAAGAAGAAAAAGTAAGAAAGGGAAAATGTCGTATTTACGTGGTTGGATAGAGGATGGACAGAGTTTGAGAAGAAGGGAAACGGTAAGAGAAGAAAGAAGACTTTACTCAATAGCTATTTCCTTAGATTTAGATCGTACGCTAACCCCGTTCGTTCCGTGTTCTCTACGTCTATCATCTTAGGTTTTATCATGACTTTTTAGTATATGGGACTGGCACACAAATGCTGCTGAACCATTCTGCTAAAACATTCTTTTAGTCGAATAAATTTGACATAAAACAGGTCCCATAAACTTGTTGAATTCTCGTTTATCAAATTCCATAATAATAATAATAAAATGAGTATTGGACGGACTGGGCTTTTGATTTGGATTTTATTTAAGCAAGATCAAGTTTGGAGAGATTGGGCTTAAGCTGTTGGTTCTTTTGTCATGTCATCACGTGATGACATTCATGTTTGTGGCTTCTTTGTGTTACACATGCTAAACCTTGTTCCAAGTCAAGAATCAAGGGAGGGATGTTATATTTCTCCAATACATTAACTGAGACAGATCTTATAAATTTTAGGTCAAGAATTTTTATCTGCTGCATCTGGATGTATTCCTATAGGAAAAAAAATATCAGAGTTTTAGACTGCTAAAAATATGAATCTAATAGATTGTAAAACTATTTATTCACACAATAATATACAAATTCTAAAACGGATATTTGTCTCAATTTATTTTGTTCTCTTTTGCTTACTTAGAGTTGATTTCTGTTTGTTCACAATTTATCTTTACTAACTTAAGAGTATATGGGGACGGTTATAGTTAGCAGTAGCACTTATTTCCACAATTAACAATAAAAGTACTTCCGTGTATGATGGCTAAAGTTCTCTTGTGACAGAATGTGAAAACTTGAACATTGTTTTGGTATCATTGAAATATGTGCAGCGACCGATTATTAGGTTTGGCCGACGACTTTTCTTATATCAGGTTTTTATATAGTTCTCTCTTAAAAAGCTTTATTGTAAACTATTTTATTTAGGTATGGTTTGATTGAGGAGCATGGCTGGCCTGGGAACAAGTTCTGGGCATATTGACTTTGCAATGGGCACGAAAGTCGATGCAAGAAGAGATTCCTCAACGAGGCTACAAAGTAATATAGTGGTCCTATCCTTTTGCTTTTACACCTTTTTTATCTCTCTTTTTCTCATACATTTTTTCTGTCTTTTTTTTTTGCCATCTAAATTTAATTAAAGGGCCAAGCCCAAAGAAAAAACATAGTTTAATACAACCACAAATAAAAAGGCCCAAACAAACAGCCAGATTATACATGAAGTTACTGGGCCTAGAAGCCCATAACCAGAAAACCCTAGCAAGCGCACGCGCACATCACGCCAAGACCCACGCCGCCGGAATCTCTCCCATCGAGAAACAACTCGACACTTTCATCGTCGCCGGAGACCTTCCATCGGAGAGCATCATCGCAAACCTCGAGATCTCATCCGAATCCCCAGCCGACAGATCCACCACCCATCACACAAACACCACACAGATCTACGAACTCAAAAGAGAAGAAAACACACTCAATCGATCTATCATCTCCGACAAACGTATGCGGTAACAGATGATAGATCGAGAGGCATAATAGCAAAGAAGCACAAACTCATAGATCGAGAGAAACATGAACAAACCGAAAAAAGAACCGACGATGGCGGTGCTGTGGGAGCCACCGCCTCCCGGGAACTTAAGCTGACGAAAACGGTGCTAAGAAAGCCACCGCTTCCCAGGAACTTAACCGACTACGGCGGAACTGAAAGAGCTTCCACCTCGCGGGGACAAGGACCGGCGGCGGCGGAGCTGGCGAAGCCTCCACCTCCCGGAAAAACCTAACCAAACGATCTACTTCACCGCATCAAAGCCTCCACACGACCGCGTCTTCCCTCCAGAACATAGCCATCGAGGAAGGAGACTAGCCAGAGCTCGGACAAAGCGGAAGAGCGGAGGAGATGACGAAGAGATTAAGAAAAAACAACTTTAAAGAAGAGACGGAGGGCTCCGGCGACGGCACGCACGCTCACGCGCCGACCGCTCGCCGGACCCAAGGTGAGATCTGTTTTCTCTCTCTAACTCTCTCGCACAGCCACCAAAACCTTAGTCAATTTTGTTTTTTCTAACTTTTATTTCTTTTTCATACATTTTTTCTGTCTTATTCTTTTTCTTTTTGCAATTTTTGTGACTTTGCATTTACAACTCTTGTAGTCTCTAAGCAAATAAGGTAAAAGTATTTCTGAAACAAACTTCTCTAAATAGTCTGTAGTGTAAACCCAAAATTATATAGTGTATACTTGTAAATCCCTTTCTATATATAGTAATTATTTATAAACTCTAATAACATGTATTACCAGCAAAACTATAATAGTTTTTCTTTTCCCAAAGAAAGACAGCATGCATAACTACAAAAGCTTGTAGTTTTGGATGATGAATTCAACCGTAAGTTTGACAAATATAAGAGAAAACACGAGAAGAAAAAAGAAAAAGTATAAACTTTTAAATTTGTTATTCGAAAGATAAAACTGTTTAGAACAATAAAAAGAAAAAGAAAAAGGGAAAAGAAGACAACCCACACGAATCGCCACTTTTGATAGAAGGTATTTAGATGAGAAGAGACAAGAGAAGACACGACAGCTCCCAAGTCATACGTCCTAACTAACTTTCTCTTTTTGCTTTTGTGTTGCGTCTTTAAACCAGCCGTGGCCGTGGGAATGTCCACTGCCCCGTCTCCGTGCGCTAGTTCTACTATGTGTTTGTTTCTTTTTACTTAAAAATAAAAGTTTTTTGTTCCATTTCATTACCAGTTGAATGTTGAGAACTTGAGATGCACAATAGAGCCAAGATGGAAACTAGTGAATTTTTGCAACTATGTTTGGAAACAATACATTACAAAGCTCTTGTCACGTCATTATATCAGGTTAGTTAGCAGTACTTTAAAGAAGTCCGTTCTTCAAATTAGGAGTAATTTGAATTGGAAAATTTTATTTTATTTTATTTTTTAAAATTTTTACCCAAAACCTTATTCCCGTTTTGGGTTGATAAATATAAGTATAAATATAAATGTTTATAAAAAAAAAGTCCGTTCGCGGTAAGTTTTTCTTTTGTTATTTTCTTTAAATGTCATTGTTTTTTTAAAGAAACCCTCCACTACTGAATAGCTAAGCTATTGTTTTAATGTCCCGCTTGACCACAATAATTTTAAAACAAAATTGTTGTATTTTTGTATCATTAACATACACACATTCCATATCTAAATCCAAACTATAACAGGAGAATACCACTAATACAGTTTAATTACATGTTCTAGTCTAAAAATATACTATGGTTGTTATAACTTATAACTATAGTTTTTCTGTTGATTATTGTGATGAGTTTATTTATTTAACTACAGTTATTTTTTTATTAAAAAAAAATATAGTTGCTTTTCATGATATCGAGCTACTTAATTGATTACTTTTATTAAATACTTTTTTAA